CTGGAAAAACTTTCCACTGAGACGACCTCGCTCAGAAGAATTAAACACGCAAGCACCCCCTTCGCAAATTCAAAACACTGCGCAGGATTACTAATGAGCGCCACGTTTCGCTCTCCTGCTTTGCCTGTTGTTCTTTCTCCTCCTTTCATCTTTCCCTCCCTGCTCCGTACTTCCACCCCTCTGCTTCTATCTTCTTTTAGTTGCGTAGTAGAAGAGATAATCCTGCAGATGATGCCGGTTGCACGCTTTATAGTTCTAGAGAAGGTGAGAGTATCTCAGGAGAGAAAGTGTACTTGAGGTACTAATGAGGTCTGGGGAGACCCAAACTCTGCTTAATGGTGCTGACAGATATTTCATCAGTCCTTAAGCAACGGCTACCATCATCAGGCTCATCACCATCGATGCAGCGTTAACTACACCCTCAGCATATTCGAGTACTCTATAATACAAGGTAATGATATGATTGAAATCAAGACTTTGGACTTAAAGAAGTGGCACAGAATTGATGGATGAAATGAACAGATGTAAAATAAACTATTAATAGGCCATTGTGAGACACTGACTTAATACTTCCTGCAGGCTATAGGTGAAAAAAATGAATTTAAGCCTTTCTAAGTCTCCACTCAAGGTGTGAAGATCAGGTGACCATAAAACTTTAGACATTTGATACATTTGAAGACTTGCTTTCACCTGAAGCACGGTCTCATGTTTCAAGTTTTCCCGTGTGAACATACTGCATAGAAACCTGTTTGGAATTAGCGTGTAACATGGGTTTTAGATTTGGCGTCTTGCTTTGTAAACATTTTTTTGTAAACATTCTGTGAATTGCGTTGCCCAAACTCAAAAGTGGGGCTTGATACCGCTCTCATAACTGCCTGCTTGATAGGAAGCCAGCAGCCAAAGCTGAACTCAGCACAGGCCTGAAAAGGGAGCGTGAGGATAGGCTGCGAAATCCTCTAAAGCTGAGTCATTCACTTTGTTTATTTACTCTGCTATAAACTGACTTTTCGGTTTTACAGGGGATTATATGAAAGAGACGGTTTCTTGGCTAGGTGCAGTTGCTTCCTGGAGTCTCCGTCGGCCGCTGAGCACCCGCAGTGGCACCCTGCTGATACGCCGCCGGCATCGTTCTCATTCTTTATATTAGGCATAAGTTAACCATGCTGCTGGCTGTGGCTTTATATCGAGTGGCATCAGTGTGAAGTCAAATAACTGTTCATTTAACTTATCAGTCATGTTGGGGTAAAACTGGGTAACTTCTTTTAAAAAGGTTGACAAGGCCATCATAAAATCCCTTTTTCAAAAATGATCCTTTAAGAAGTTTAAGTGCCTCAGGTTTAAAACCTAAAATCACGTTGGCAGCCAAAAGTGCTGTCTGGGCATCCCAGGCTGATATGTATTGATTTTTGATCTAATCTCAGCCCGAGGAAGCCGAGATACAGAGACCCATAAAGCAGACCGATTCTCACACATTTCCACGCTGTGGAGGGAAAACAAGACCGAGGCCTCAAAGATGGAAACGCTGATAGTGATTTCAAGGTCTTTCCATTATTTTAGGTCTCCCCTTCTCTGTATTGAGTTCCTCCAGTAGATTTAATGTGGTGATATACACGTCTTATTGTTTTGTCTGAGATGGGAGAAACAAAAAAGCTGTGATCCACGAAACCCCCACTGATAACATGAAAAACAGGAATTCTCAGCTGGGTTACACACGCTTTGTTTCAAGCATCATGGAGAGTGCTGAGAGAAGGTTTTCTTTCCAAGTTCCTTAGACTGAGAGAAGGTTCCTGAATTAGTCAAGATAAGCTTTAATACAAAAACAATGCACGCACGGTATGAAGCTTATCATGGACGACTGTATTTTCCTTTGCAACTTCTTCCAACGGAATGATCAGTAAAACTCAGTCCTACTTCACATAACACAAAAAATAGTTATTTTGGACGGGTTATACAACAATATGTGAACAAAACGCATCTCAGGAAAATGAATTCCACAAACTGAAGTGCACCCATCAGCTGTGCAGCTGGGCTATGTGCAGAGAGTGAATCTGACTTTATAGTTTAACTTGCAGTATAACCTCTGATCAGATGTGGGTGTAGTGTGTGCCAGATTCCACTTTTTATCCAGCTAATTGTAATGCAAATCTATACTATTCTGGACCAACGGCTCCCTGATCAAAACAGTGACAGATGGTTGAAAATGTATTTTAAAACCGGTCAGTCTTTTTGGAATAGAAGCCGTGAGGAGGCATTTACAGCGCTCTATATTAACAACGAGAAAATGGCGGCTAAACGAGGATAGATGTGTGAATTAGAAATGAGGGCCATGTGGAGCCTGCCATTTTTAGACCTATATTTAGGGCCTGTTAAAAGAATAATGACCATCAAAGGCCTGTAAAAGAGAGGAATTGCCATCAGAGCCCGTATCCAAAAGGTGATTTATTACACTCTAATGGGAAGGAAATGGTCCTCTGCACATCAAAGGACAAAGCAACATTGTATAAAGAGACCGAAAATAAACTTATTCGCCCCACAACGCCCACATTTTCTTCTCCTCATGCATGTGAAACTCGACTGATCGGCTGTTGAGCATCAAGTGTATTTCAGGGAGTTGAAGCATTGAATTCCATTTCAAAGGATAAGCAGTTTGAACCAAGTAAGGATGCTCATCGCAAGCAGGGAGTGGAATGTGGATTTGAAATTTCTATTTTTATGATCAGACTCTCGAAGTACCCTTGTAGTTTTTTTTTAATGTCAAAAATGTACACTTAATTTGTGCCAGCTCCCACCATCTATCGGTGGCCTCGCTGACACTTGTTAAGTTTCAACCATGCGAGCTGCAACGTTCAACAGCTGGGGAAATCCAACAGTGTCAGCTGTACGGTTTTTCTCGTGGGTTTAGCAAAGTGGGTGGAACGCTGCTCGACATGCTACCTGAGTTAGAATTGCTTTTTGCCCCATTACAAAGGGAAAAAACAATGCTCAGAGCCAGCACTTGATGAGAGATGGAGTGAGAACGAGAGATCTGGGCTTGGATTTCTGTGCCTACTGAGCTGATAATCAGTCCTACAGAATCACTGGCTCAGTTCAGCAGGAACAGGAATCCAGTCCACTCACCACCAGAGCAGAACCAAACGGACGTCACATGAAAGATATGAGTTATGGAACAGTTTTGGGGGTTTAGAAATACAATCGATCCATGGCGGGACGGCAGCTTCCACACAGCAGGGGCGCTGGAGTCAGATGAAATGCACTATATTTTTTTAAGAGAATACTCTACATCGTTTTATTAAAAGGTGAAGAAATATTTGGGAGCAAATGTATTTAAAAAAACAACAACATCTGTGTGATAGGCCTGGGACTTCTTGGTAAACCTGGCTGCAGAAAGATATTGGTTAACACTTTAAATGTACTGTTGTCATTGTTTTTGTTGAATATTTTGGATTTTGAACTTGGTGACATTGAGAGCAATGTCTTTTTAGGATATAAAAATGTGTTTTATTTAATTCTGAAATATTTTCTACTTGTATGTCCTGCATCTTAGCCAATGACACCTGCGTTGGATTCCTTAGACTGGACTAAAACCGGCATTGTGTGTTTGTCTTCACGGCACATAGATAACCCGTTAGAGCATTGTAAGCATCTACCAAATGTTCTGTAAGGCTCCGGTGTGAACATATTCTTCATTTTCTTCCAGGTTGCTGACTACAGACAGGAGGGACAGGAGTTTGGCACAGCAGCCGCACGAGAGTCCAGCACTCACCTGCTCGTTTGCCTGGATGCTGCAGAATAGCTCAGCAGTGTGAAAACCAGAGGGTTGTATTCATGCTCTGCAACTAAGGCCAACTGGCAAAGTTTGGAGCACAGCAGTTCTGTTCATTCAAGTCTAAGAAATAGCTGGTATGTGCTAGATATGTGCACAATTAGTCAGCCGGAGGCTTGAATGCTGGTATATTTGCTGGTCAGCTAAAGTAATTATTCATATTTTATTAACCCTCTGAGGACTGAGTCATCAAAGGTGTTAATCCCGATCCCTTCATATGAAAAATGAAACAGATATTTGTGTAAAATAAGACATAATGTGTGATGGGTCTGTATAGAGTCTCTATTGTCTTTATTCCATGATTGCCAAGACAGCCACTTTGTTAGGTTCACCCATTCAACTGCTTCTAAATGCAGATTTCTGATCAGCCAATCATATGACAGCAACTCAATGCATTTATGCATCTTTGAAAGTGGCGTGCTTTTTAGAACTAATTGCAACTTGAATCTCAGAGGGTTCATGTACAATGCCAGTGACTGGAAATTGTTAACCAGTAAAATGGAAAGTTCTGCACATTTTAATATATTTGGTTAATGAATAAATTGATTAACAGCTTCAGATGACTCTCAGTTACACACAAAATATTTGTACGGACAACGTTTAACCTCATCCGTCAAATTTGGCTCAGAAGTGAATTGAAAAGGGGAAAAGTAAATTGTAACCCATAACTATACAGTCTGTTCTTGTCTGTTTAGTCTAAAGTCACGATTCGGTTCTTTGGAGTTTAGACTGGAAATTCTTTGAGGTGAGTAATGTTCGAGTTTTTTTCTGTATTGAAACAGGCAACTCTCAGGGCATATCTGCTGCTCTGCAGATACTAACGGCAAACCTGTTTGTGTATAATTGATTTTTTGTATTTGCTGTTTATGATAAAATAAAATGATGTTTTGTTAAAAATCCGTGTGCAGCTTTTGTTTAAGAGACAAAACAGAGAAAATCTGAAGATTAGTCAGGCACTCGTGGATGTTACACTGATTTTATATGTAAATTACACATCCGAGACACTTATTACAGCCGGGCAGACTCAATACCACCTGGAGGATAAATGTTGCGGCAGAGCTAAAGGAGATGGGCTACACCAGGAGGGAAGCTCAGCGTGGAGGGAACTTGATGTGGCCTTATGTCCCACTATGACATGCAGAGGATAAGAAGGCGAGGAGACTTATAATAAGGTGTTTCATAACAAGTGCATTTAATTGATTAATATGAGGATGTATATCTTTTGTTTCACAAATCCAGAGCATAAAAATAACAAAAACAAAAAAACAGCGCAGCACTAATGTTCTGCTAATACTTAATGGTTCAATGGCATTTTTAAGCACACAAATTCCAGAAATCACTCTAATTTTTCATTTGAATGATGCATCATACAACAAAAACTATTTCTTGAATAATGAAAGAAGCCAAAAATTAATTCTTCTACAAACTATACATGCATAGTTTGCATAAATACATGCACATGCATATGTATTTGTTTACATTCTGTCCAACTCCAGCAGCAGTCAGCTAGTAGTAACAATAAGTGTAATCTAAAAGCACCGTTTGCTTCCAGTTTTAAATCAAATGTGACCTATACCTTGAGCTTTACAAACAATAAAGCTATTTAAAATGTACATACAGAAATATCTGCATGAGTGACATTAATCATTTACATTTAACATACACTCAGCACTGTTAGAGCATGTTTTTCAAGCCAGAAACAGTAATTACACGACGATAACTGGCATTTGGCTTTCCTCCCCACAAACCTACGTCTTACAGTCGGCATGTGTAGCATGAAGGATTTATATTGTGAGGCAATTATGAGAGTGGGAGGACTCTGACACGTCGCACGAGCTGCTGCTGCTGCTATGCAGCGTGTTCTGTCACGCCGAGTGTCCTTGCGGGCCTCGGCAGTTGTGTTTTGTGTGCGTATGTCTAATTGTGACCTGGCTCCGTTGTTTTGACACAGTCCTGTCACCGCTCCACGGTATATCAACAAGAGAGCATGGCTATTTGTTATTCTGCAAACGAGCTAAAAGCCCAGGGATGAGCTCACAGTTGCATGGTTTTGTACAATTTTGTATGTAATTGTGCGTGTGTGCCTATTGCTCACTCTGAATGCATTTGCGTTATCGTCTTTTGAAGTTCCTTGATCCTTAGATGAACTGTGTCTCTTGATAAACAGCATCCTTCGTTTAGTCTGAGCTCCAGTGAGCTGAGAACACATGCTGCTTCATCAAGCAGACCAGACTGATCCACCACCTGGACTGACACACACACACGCACACGCACACGCACACGCACACATGATGCATATGAGACACATAAAAAATGAAATACTAAAATAACTTTTTAGTTAAGCAAAGAAATGATAACTTACAAGTACTTCAAAATTAAGCCTCACGTCATGCTTGCTTATTTTAAACATGACAACAGCTACAGCAACCACTGCCATTTATACATTTTGACTTTGTTATAAGTTTGATTTTATATACAAGGTATAATATAAAAAATGGAAATACAATCATGTCTGTTCATTTTATCTTCAATTAGCATCATTATCACTCAAACCTAATTTTTAATATTCTTCCTTTACGTGGACAGTGTTGCTGCCTAAGATGTTTTGGGGTTTAGATACCAAAATATGGAAAAATGTATATTATATGAATGCACTGAAAGATTATTCAAACTAAACAGCTTTTCACCTCATGGTTTTGAATACATTTCAAATACACACAAAAATGTGCATATCACACCAGTGATCTACCTGCCCATTCCTGTGTATCCACCCTCTTATTGTGGAAAGCAGTAACAGGGTGGACGTTTTATGCTTAAATCAACCATTATTCCTCATGTGATGCACAACAGGCTAGCAAATGAAGACCATAAACATTATTTTTAACATGTTTATGAACCATGTGATCGGAATTACAAAAGAATATCTGTTTATACTGTAAATAAGGGTAACAGCGTGAACAGGTTATGCTTTAACGCATCTGTGAACCATTCTGAAACATGGGGAAAAAACGGTTGATGAAAGATTGATGTTTACTCTGGCTTTTATAGAGGATTTCCCTCCAAAACACTAATACAACTTACTGTAAGTCATGTAACTAGCGGACCAATAGAGGGGAGCTATCCAAAAAGACTTTGGTAAGAGTAACAGGACAGACGGACAAATGCGGGACAATTTATTTTATTTCAGACTTTAAACGTAAAAAAAAATAAAAAATATAAAAATGTATTAATAGGGGGAAAAACATCTAATGTAGAATATTACTATTAAGGCTATACAACAGTAATGAACAAGTTTGTGTTTTTTAATGACTTATATTAGCAGATGAACTTGAACTTGAATGAACGGGGGTGTTTTAGGGTATTTGTGCTTAAAAAAATGAAATAATTTTAAAAATAAATATTTTCTAAACATATAACTGTTTTCTAATAGTTAATAGTGTAAGACAAGCTTTTCAAATAAGTATTTGCCCATTTTTATACAAAACACACTCAGATCTGTGATCGGGATTAAAAGGCATTAAATACTAGGAATGATTCACGTTCCCAAAGTGTTGGTATTGCTATTGGGAATTACATGTCACTTTTGTCTCCAAACTTTACACTTTTAAAGCATAATAACGATGACAGACTTCATATATGTTTTAGAGGCTTTAAATACCTGCCACAGGACTGAGTTTGTTAAAAAGAGAATCAAGAAATATTCTCAGATGGCTGCATCTGATCCATGTTTCAACCTCCAAATGTCCAAGAATAGATTAGAATAGAATAGCACTTTACTGTCACTGTACATGTACAATGAAATTGTAGAAAAAAGACTGGTGCAGGACACTGAACCCTCCAACACAGTAGGTTATGTAAAGTGCTGGTGTACCTACTTTGTGTGTGTGTCTGTGTAAGTGAATGAGTCACATTTAAAAAACCAGCTGTTAACATAAAATAGTTCCTATGGACCACCACCTTTTTTCAGACCAATCATTTTCACTTGCACTCATGTATCTGAGATGATCCAGTGTGTCAAAATGTTTACCCTTCAGCTTGAATGGGTGGTGGGCTAAGACTGTGCTGGTGTAGCCAGTAATTCTTGGACCCTTCCACCTATCCCTGAGACCTAATTATAATTACTGCAATGACCTTGGACATGGACGTTGGGCCAGTTTGATACAGGAGCTTGCACGAGTTTGACTGGTCAACCTTCTGAAAACTAGCAGAGGGTCTGAAAGTAGTCTATAGGTGTCCCAAGGACACAACCTTGAGGGGAAAACTAGCCAAGTTTTAATTATGTATGTTTCCTGATTTAAATGGATTTAATTTGCAGAACATTTGGATCAAACCTTGCATACTGCATGAAAGGAGGGCCAAATGATTAACATCTTTCTCTATAATGCTTCCCTTTGAAGCATTTCTTTGTCAGTAGCTTGTATCTAAGGTCCAGCATTTCAAGCATTATGCATACTGAGCTTTGCATTTAATAATAACTGGATGGAACAATAATCTGAAAACGACAGAAGAGAAACAGTTTTCCTCACCGCCTGTAAAACCTCTGCTGAGCCACTTGGTGGTAGCTGGCAGAAAACGGCAACATTAACCAAAAGGCTGACAGTCAATGATGGAGCAAGTGATTGCTGCTCAGGTTGTGGTGAAACCAGCGTGTCCAGTGACTGCAGGCGGTCGCTGGGAAGAGGATGAGCTGCGCCTGAGAAAAGAGTGCGTATGTGGTTCCAAGCTTCTTTGGCCTGTGCCTGGTGGGAAAGATGTTTAAAAAGAAAAAAAGAAAGAAAGAAAGAAAGAAAGAAAGAGAGCATGCTCAATTTCAACCAAGTCAGATTTAACGGGTCTTCTGGTGTCTTTCATGTAAAAAAATAAATGACAAACAGATTGCTAATTCAAAAATGAGACAACAAGAAAGCCTAGCAGAGAAGAACGTACAACTGTAGTAGAGGAGATGGTGGAGTCTCCAAGGGTTATGATGGGAGGCGGACAAGCAAGAGACAGAGGTAAAACTCAGGCAAAGCTGTCCCAGACACTCACTGAGAAATCAATACTACATCACCCTTTCCACCCAGCCCTCTCATCTATATCTCTCTCTCCCTCTCTTCACCACTGTCTCACTCCCTCCCTCTCAGTTAGGGGTCATCCATAATTAATTCATTAATGTGTTATTCCTTTTTTTGCCCCTCTGTATTGTTTCTTTTGCTTTCAACAACAACAGACCTGCAAATAACAGACTATCCCCAATGTTATGTTGCCGAGTTATGCTGAAGCACTTAGCTGCCGCAGTGTTGGTAAAAGAAGAGAAATAGTTGGAACAAGCTGGTTTTCAAACAAAGTCTATTTAAGAAGACCCCCGGTTGCCTTCTTAGTTTTTAATGACGGGGCAGAGATATCTGCATCGATCGGTTCAACACTTACTAAGCAATTATTTAAGTGCAAAAATTTGGATTTCATATAACTAGATTAAAATGATTTATGCAAAAAAAACAAACAAACTCACCAGCCGTGAAGCTCTGTGGTGCCACCTCTTGGTGGGGTAGTGGTAGAATATCAACAGCCACAGGAAGGGATCACCATCTTCAGTCCCAGATGTGGCCAGCAGCTGGACAGCCACCTGTACCCAGTGGGCACACTGAACCAGCAGGAACCAGGCCTCAAACACGTTGTGGTGCCCCCTGCAGGACATTAGGAGAAGCAGCATTTAACAGCAGAAGTAGAACCCTTCTCGAACAGTGGGTATGATTGGGATGTGATGGATGTGATTTTGTTACCGAAAAGACACTGTACCACATGAGAGAACATATATTATATGAACACATACCTCACAGGGTACAATTTCATTTAAAAAAAATGAAAAATTCAATAGCAAACACCATCAGTTATACTAAACTAACAGTTTGTAGGATTTAGGGGGAATTGTAACTTAGAAGTATAGGATTCACGATTATGTTTAAATTAGTGTATAATCACCTGTAAGTAAAAGTTTTGTTATGTTTTGTAAGCTAAAAAAAAAAATACTCTTCCATCAAGTAGGCCATGTTGTGCCAGCAATACGTCTACAGGAGCCCAAAGTGGACAGAGCACCAACTGGATATATAGAGAGAGCTTTCCTGTGTGGCTTAGCTTCACTCTTGGAAAAGGAGGGGTGACGGAAGAGTATTTAGTTGCTTGCAATCTGCAACCAAACTGCAAGATGCCAATAAATCCTACATGCTGGTCATTTATGCTTAAAAATTCATGACTAATAATGTCAACTAAAATCATTACATTGTAACTGCAGAAGTTTCAGATGCCTCTTGTGACATCTGTTGATTTATCTTCTTATGGCAGCATTTAGTACTTACTACATGATAGCTAAACCACATGCCTGACAGCTGAGGAAAAAAATGAAGGCTACAGAACGTGGCTGAGAACCAAGTAAGTAGAGTTTGTGAGGTGTTTGTCACAAGTTTTTAACAGGAGATACAAACAAGGCATTGCATTGGAACAACCTATGTGCTATAAACAGGTTTTAATATCCATAAATTAAGGTAATTTGGGTGGTCTGGTTCAGTTTGTTAATAGTTTGGCACTTAATCTACAACTTAGTCTCAGTTTTTCCGAGGTATTTGTGTGAATATGTACAACTTTCCCCTCTACAAAGCCTTCCCCAAAGTCCTGGTGGAAAATACAACTGCTGACTGTCAGCCTAACAATTTATACCCAGGTTGCTTTCCAAGCATTGAAAAAAAAGTGGCCATAAAGAAGAGAAGATGGTTTGTTTGTTGTTGTTGTTTTAAATACATGCTGTCAAACTGAGATGGCAACTGAGCAAAATTATACTAAAACAATCTGGTGTTCAGTGTGGAGCAGAAAAAAAACTGATAGCAGGCTGTCAACTGACTCATTAGGACTTTATGAATGAACCACAACTGAGTCCCTGCCATGGAAATTAGCACACCCCCATTGACAGGATCAATGGAAGATCAAAGCGACTTAAATGCAGATGATGCAGATCTAAGTCATTGTCTGATCTAGTGATGAGCATCATAAACAACACCTCAAACTACTACATTTGTACAAAACTAGAAAACCTTCATTCAGCCATCACAATACGTGATGGGCTCTGCGTAATTAGCAACAAGGTCTGATGTCCTTTGATGTCCAAACCAATCAGCTGATGGTTATGATCTTGAAACTTATCAATATTCTCTGTATTTTCTCATCATTCGTAGACAAGTTCATTTTGTAGGCAAGCTGCTTCTCGTTAGATTAATGTTTTATAAAAAATGAGAACCGTAAATCTAAAAGTAAAAAAAGAAATTGAGATTTGGGCAGACAAAGTGGTACAACAGAGCGAACAGAGCTTCACAGCTGCAACAGCAAGAATGACTTCAAGTCAGAAGAGCGATAAGGATCTCGTTCTCAGATTTCCCTAATACCATCATTAGAGCTCTCCTCCTCATCTTCCCTCTCTCCACTTGGCTTCCAAATAGGAACAGCAGCAGCCTTCTGCAGGGCCTTGGCAGCTGCAACTTTGCTTGGAGCAACACAACACACTACTTTCCCACCGCTGGCTCCGAACAATGTTTTGGGAATTTTGCACTCAACTCCAGAATGAGGCGACAGTGGGGATAATGGGCCCTGTTAAAAACCGCAGCTGAGGGGCATCAAGTCATCCGTCTCCATCTCCACGACATCACCTAGTTTATGTTCTTTTAATCAGAAACCCCTATTCTCTTTTTTCATGAATCCCAGACTAAATAGTCTACTTTTCTCTGTTTCATTATATCTTTTTTCTACTCTATCCTCACTCATTTTCCCACTCACTTGTATTCTCCACAGTTCTCTCTTTCCTAAGCTAATAGCCTCTAATGAATGCTTGGAGAAGCTACGCACTCCTCCAGGACCTCTGTACTGTGAGGCAAGGGAAAAATATCTGACTAACCACCCCCTCAACAAGAGCTAATGGAAATAAGAACACCGCACAGGCATTCAGTAGGGTGGTGGAAGCAGGCACACATTAACACATTCTCTCCGCGAGCCATTCTCACTCTAACCTGGTGCTTCTGCCGTCTCCCTCCTCTTCCTCCTCTGTCAGTCTCTGTAATGAGCTGCTCAGCCAGTTCAGGTGATTTCTCCAAGCCCCCTGAGGCATCTCTGCAAGAACAGATTCAGATTTAACGACATAATGATGGCTTGTTGCACAAATAATCGCTTCTTACAATCCACTGATCCAAAGCTAACTATTAAGTCAATCTTGAACTAACCATTCAAAAATAATGAAAAATAAGTTTATTATTATTATTAGAAAAGTTATATTACTGAAATATGTGTGTGGTAAATGTAGCACTACAATAACCCAAGAATCAAAATGTGACTCCAACATTTAATTCCCCATAACACCGCAAACTGCTGCAACCAGCAATTATATTAATTATTGATTCATCTGCCAGCTATTTTCTACATTAACAGGAAAATTATTTGGTCTATTGAAAGTCAAAATACAGCAAAAATGACACAGCAGTTTCACTGAATCCAAAAAGAGATCTTCATAGAATAGTTTTGATATTTATTCCCTTAGTTTGAAATAGACGGATAAGAGGACCAAAACCAATAAATATTTATATACCTTTGATAGCCTCGTTTTAGATTTGTTAAATCTTTAAATCTTCTTATCATATTACCAGAAAAAAAGCATGTTCACATATATTAAAATAAATAATATAATTATATTTAGCTAAGATAATAGTTAAGCTTTTCATTAGTTAAATTCATAAACAATCCTCCAAATATCTTGCACATTTACACTCACTGGACACTCTGTTAGGTACACCTTGCTAGTGTTGAGCTGAGAACCTTCATTCTCTGTGTCACAGATACAGCAAGGTGCTGCAAACATCGCTCAGAAATTTTGGTCCATATTGACATGATTGCATCACACAATAGCAGCAGATTTTTCGCTTCAAATCACCGATGGTTCTCTCCTTTTCTACCACATCCCACAGGTGTCACGATTCGGCTGTGTGGTAGACAGGGAGTGGACCCAGATGCAAGACTCCAGAGACCAAAAGTAATCTCACAAAGGGAGCTTTATTGCTGAGCTCTTTACAGAAACACAAAGAATCACAGGCCTGAGGTAAGGAAAGGAGCAGGAAGGTAACTAATAAATCCAAAGTCATCAATAACTAAAGTAGAGACACAGATAATACAAGAGGTATCCAACGCAAGGATCAGAAAACAAAACTACTGAAATTACAAAAGTAAAAACTCGAGCTCACGACTCATGGAAACTGACAAAAGGTGCTCTACTGAATTGAGATTTGGTGACTGTGGAAGAGTACAGTGCACTCACAGTCACGTTTAAAAAAAACAAAACAACAGTTCACATTACCCTACATTACCCCGTTGGAAGCAGTCATCAGAAGATATCAAGACTCATTAGAGCAGGCAACATTTTTACAGACTTCTGTTATCTAATTTTGGTGAGCCTGTGTGAACTGTACCCTCAGTTTCCTTTTCTTAGCTGACAGGAATGGGAGCCAGTGTGGTCCTCTGCTGCTGTAGCTCATCTGCTTATAGGTTTGATGTTTTGTGTGTTCACAGATACTTTGGTTGTAAGGAGTGGTTATTTCAGTTACTGTTACTTTCCTATCTGCTCAAAGCAGTCTGGCAATTATCCTCTGACTCCTGGCATCAACAGGCGTTTTCACCCAGAGAGTTGCTGCTCACTTGGTATTTTCTCTTTTTTGGACCAATTTCTGTAAACTCCGGAGATGGTTGTGTGGGAAAATCTCATTGGAACATTTTCTGAAATCCATATGACATCCAGAGTCCCTTAAAACAGCGGTCCCCAACCCCCAGACCAGTACCAGTCCGTGAGTCGTTTGGTACCGGGCCACAAGAGTTGAGGCTCGGGTGTGAAATTTATGGTTTTCAGGGTTTTTAATCGTTTTTAATTGTTATTTTTTTAAATTGTTTTTATCCTTAACTCTGTTTCCCTGAGTCTTTTCCCGTGTGTTATCAATAAATCTTCCTTTTTGGTACCGGTACTGGTTTTATTTTGTTGTATTTATCTGTGACACCTTAAAGGCCCGTCCATGAAAATATTGTCAGACATAAACCGGTCCATGGTGCAAAAAAGGTTGGGGACCGCTGCCTTAAATCACTTTTCTTCCCCATTCCGATGCTTGGTTTGAACTTCAGCAGGTTGTTTTGACCATTTCTAACTGCATACCAATACCAAGCAGCTGAACAGGTGTACCTAAAAAGTGGCCAATGAGTGTAATTTCAAAGCAGAAATGGCTTAACTGCGATTTCTTTCTTGTGCTTTTCAGGATTCATTTTAACTGCTGTTAAAATAGTTTTTTCACATTGCATTGTAAAAAAATAGATTTCCCACCGCAAACCAATTTTTTTCACAGAAACGCAGTCCAAATGACACCTGAGGTTGACAAACAAACGTAAATAAATATTTCAAATACTTGTCAGCGTGATCCAAGTTTTTTCCCAAGGCTGTGTTTTAACAATCCAATGCTAAAATGTAATTCGTGGCTTTTTCAGAGAGGGCACAAATCATAATAAATCCTCAAATCTTCTACTTTTCTCAGTACCATTTCTATTCAGTCCCTGGTGAAAAATTGCCCTTCACCACACACACACACACACACACACACACAGTAATAATTAACTCTGAGTTCTGGCTGGGCACCAGCGTGTCCCTAAATGGCTCCATTCATGTAAATCATTCCTGCCTACAGGCCAGTCTGGGCACACACTGATAAGCTTACTGCTCCGTTTTGCTCCTGCACTCACCTACTGTGCATCTCTTTAATTGTAAAGATTCCCAAACACAAAAACTGTTAGCACAGTGATACACATCCAGCATAGATAATACGGATCCTTTTTGATAAGACAAATAAAAATGCTTTGTGTGTTTATGTATGATGACCCATATTTTCATTTGTTCATTTTTGTAAAAAACAATATGGAAAACAGCTATCCCAATAACACACGCACTGACACCTAAGCCTCAGTTTCTTTTCAAATCCTCAAATCACCATATTTCATGTCTGACATAAAAGGCTTCATAGTTATAAACTAACTACTATTGATTAGCAAGAACAAGATGCACAAAAGACCGTTCATTCTGCTGCAGGAAAACTGTTTACACAGTGATAAAGCATAACCAATCACAGTCTTCTTCACAGTGATGGGTTTTGTGCATAGTGTCAGAGTGAAACATCCAAAAGCAGACGATGACGCACACAACATGTGTGTCTGCACACTGACCTGATGGCATCGTCAAGAGGGGAACCAGCAGACTTGAAGGCGACTGTGGGAAGAAGGCTTTCACAGATATGCTTGTCTGAAACAACACAAAGCACATTTTTACCTCAGCTTCATCAATGTAAATCACACTTTCCTTCAACTCATGCATCAGTGTGCTCTGAAAGCCTGAAAAATAGCATTTTGAATGGGAGGCTGTGTAACAGTGATACAGTTGGTGCTAATGTGTAATGTAGCGTGTAATAGGTAGCGTTTTGTGCAGGGTGACTACAGCCATTAAAATCGAGGCCACTGTAAATGCACTATGGCACTGCCATCTAGTGGTTAATAGAGGTGAAAAGAAAGGAAACGCTCTACTCACAAAGCTGCATAGCAGATAATACATCATCCCTACATAGTAACACATCTGTTTTCTGCAATGGCTGACATGTAAGTGCCAGATTATTCCTTACAGTCCCACAAACTGTTTGGATGAATGCTCCCCATACAGTGACAGAGGACATGTGTGAGCTGAGGGCTGAGAGTTTTAGCAAAAGTTGGAAAGTACACAGTGACACAGAAGTGTAAGAGCTCACAGTGGTTTCCACATTTATCTGTACAGAGTTATTACCTGCAAACCGATGATGTGAATTCATTGTCTATGATGCAGGGGTGTGAAATGTGCTGTGTTAGGTGTGAGCAGCAGGTTCCCAGCTGGAGTTCAAGTGATAATAAAGTGGAGGATTCATCAAGTAAGTGATTTTTCCTGCAGCTCTAGAGGTAATTGCTTGT